TTAATATTTAAATATAATTTATTTTTATATTGAAATTAATAAAAATTTCTTTATAGTTATTTCTTGCAAAACGTTCATTGCCTTTTTATTTTGCAAATGTTTTTATTTCCAAAATAATAAAATAAAATATTGTTAATAATCAAAGATTTTTCAATAATTTAAATGATATTTATAAATTAAATAATATTTATAAAGCTAATTAAAATTTAAGAGACATATAATTTTTTTTGCACTTACCTGCCCATTCGCCGAACTTTGTTCGCAAATCAATTGCCTTCTTATTATATATTTGCATAATAATTTCCCATAGAACACGCAGAAATCTCGTAACAGGACCATGAATCCAAAAATAAATTAAAGTAACTAACAGCCAAAATGCTATTGTTATTAACATTTTTTTCGTAATTTCGCGCTCTCTTGTAATAACTTAAAAGAGAAAAATATTTATGTTAAAAATAACAAAAAAACAGTTTTCTTTAATTTTTTATTACAAAAAATACTGACATTTTTTTAGGTATTTTTGTCAAGAGATATTTATAGAATTAGAGTATATAAATTTACATATCAAAATGTTATTTAAGCATTAAGGTCCAGCTCAGACTAATAAGGCTTTTTTGTTACTTATTCTGTATTCACATAATGGTCTTACGATATTTTAAGATTTGCTCACAAGATATTTATTTATAATTATTTGCTTGTAATTCTAGAATTATTTATGTGATAAAAGAACGTATTAAATTGAACTTTCCTTAATTTTAATTAATATTTTTATTGGAAGTTCTGTGTGATCATATATTTTTTCCAAAACTTTAATTTCATATAAATACGATGTCACAATTGAGAAAACATTTGCGAGAATTTCAAAGCTTTAACACATGAAAGTGTATTATTTAACCGCGCCAGATATTTCGGCGCAGCAAAAGCTTGACTGGTCGCTTCTTTTGGAGGTACAATATTTCTTACCAAACACTTTGTTTCGACACTCTTATCTTTTATCCACATTCACTTTTTTCGATACCGACACGGTGATAGATGTTCAAGAAACAAAAGTCGAAGTAAGACTAAACCACAGTATATATACAGTAACGTAACTCTCTGTCGACACCTTTGATGTTAGTATTGTCCAAAATGGAGTGCGCATGCGTGAAATAAGTAAGGTATCTAGCGTTGCCACAGTTACCACCTAAACTTCTTTCTCTTTTCATCCTTTTTTTACTCTGTCAAAATTCACTAGATTTATTCGCATTGCAATCCAACAAATTCGTTGAAGTGAGTAAGTGCTATTGTAGGAACATATTGGAACATATTAGAGCATGCGACGCGAATAAACCTAATATTGCGATGAAATAATTTAAACTTTATGAAAATTAATAAAAATCAATTAATAAATATATTGAAAAATAAAAAAAAAATATAGAAAAATTAGGAAAAATGTTAAATTAATTTAAAAATGTATACTCTTGTATAATATAAAGAAATATTATGTAATTTTGTATCTATGAAAATGTTACGAAAACGCTGATATAAAAGAAATTTATATATATATATGTCCAAAAAATAAGTTTAAAATATAATAAATAAAAAGAAATCCTTTTTGCTCGAGTTTCTATGTTTCTACTTTTTGTTCACTTTTCCACTTTATCACTTTTTCACAAAAATGGACCAATCTCTCGAGATTTCTCACACAACATTTCACCAAATGAACAATACACGAAATATTTCCTTCTAAATTTCTACTCTGAACCATGTATGCTTGAAAGACAAATGTTTAAGTGGAACATTGAAACACTTTTTAAATAGAAAGAGAAAGAGAGCGGACAATAAAAAAAGGAGGAAAAGAGACGGGGCAACTTACTTATTTCACGCATGCACACTCCATTTTGGCTAATATAAAATCAGGAGAGTTACGCTACTGTATATACTGTGACGATGATTTCTATGACAACTATATTAAATATTAGTTTTTCATTTCCTGTGTCATTTCCTGAGGTCACCACAAATGTTGATAACGCTCGGATTAAGAGGAGATATTGATGGCCCTGGTGTATCGCAATATCTCGTTGCTGTGACCAATTTCTTAATTTGAATAGTCGTTTACTTTAATGACTAATCACGATTCACGAAGCAGAGCGACACTTTTTTTGTCAAACTGATTGAATTTTCATCACTGTTATTAAACTCGATTAAGAGTGCCGTATAAATGTGGTCACAGTTTCTCAACGACAATCTCGATGTTATTGGATAACTTAGACATTTATGTTAATTACGCGAAAATACGTCGACTAAAAATATTTTTATCAATATTTGAGGTAATACAATATTATTGGAACACAATATTATATATAATATAACTTTAGCCACAATCACAAACCTTTCACCTGTAATCGCAAACCAATCGTAAACCTTTAATGTTTATTTACATATCATGATACAATTGAACAATTAGCGATATATCAACAAGCAAAGAAGACACGAAATTCGAAGAGTGTCTTGAAACAATTTATTTTTCATCACATTTAATTATTTTCCATTATTAACCTTGCGTAATCTTGAATGATTTTTAATTATAGGTCACTGTATTTGTTTTAAAATGCTCTATCAGAATGTAAATAAAAAAACATATTATTCCATTTAAAAAAACAGATTTGACTTTTGCCTATCCTTTATGCTTCCACCAATTATTGACATCACATTATGTGCCCCTCAAAACCAAGCAACTTTTGTTTGATACTTTTTCTTCTATTGTTAAAAACAAGCGAGTTATTTAGATGACCTGTTTTAAATGTCCCTTATATATACAGAGTGGAACAGTAAATTTGTCCACTTAGAATATTTCCGCTATTTTTAGGAATATGTAATAATATATTTATTTAAGTTGTGTAGCATCAAGAGGATATAATATATTATTAACTAGTTTTTCTAGGACGGAGGCGCTTCACTTTGACGGAGAGATTTCACTTTCACTTTTTGAAATAGAATTTTATGATTTTTTTTACATAATATGATATTATATTCCTCTCCAATTATTCTGCATATGAAAAAATCATTATGGTAGTGTATCAAAGAACCAATAGTTTACGAGATATTTTATACTTTATTGTGGCATATATTGGTATAAAATATTTAACAAACTATTAATTTTTTTTATAATCATATCTTAATACTTTTATAAACGAAATAATGAATTAATTTATGAAAAGAAAACACATGAAAAAAAAACAGTTGCTTTAAAAAAATATGTATGCAAAATGATAATTTTTTAAATAAGCAGCTATGTGTTCTTTTTTTTCCATTGATTCATCTCACTGTTTTGTTCATAAAAGTATTAAGGATTACAAAAAACATTAATATTGTAATTTACGAGTTATTTAATATTTTATGTTAATATATATGCCAGAATAAAGTGCAAAATATCTCATTAATTACTGGCTTTTTGATATCACTATCTTAATACTTTTATATGCAGAATAATTATAGAGGAATCATATTGCGTAAAAAAAATCATACAATTCCATTTAAAAAAGTGGAAGTAATCCTGAAATCTTCACCCATTCATTCTGAAGTATCTCCACCCATAGAAAAACTATTACTAGTATATTGTACCCTTCTTGATGCTATACAACTTCAATAAATATATTATTTCATGTCTCTAAAAATAGCGAAAACATTCTAAGTAAATGTACACACACACACACACACACACACACGCGCACACACACACACACACACACACACACACACACACACACACACACACACACACACACACATATAAGGTGGGGCAATAACTCTGTCTACTTAGAATGTTTTCGCTATTTTATATATATATATTCGTATATATATATATATATAATAGAATAAAAACGTATATATAAAATAGAACGTATTCTAGATATTTTCTTTACAAATAATTTTTTTTAATTTAACCCTTTCGCTTCTAACGCCGGCTATGTCCGGCATTCAAAAAGGCAAACGCTATAGCCAGCATTCCCAAAGTAATTTATAATGCTCCTTATAATAAGAATTATGTCAAATCAGTCATATACAGCCAAGCGTAACATTGATTTTTTCAAATAATATATATCTAACATAATTAGTAATGATAGTAAACTGACGTTTATAATGCCACTGGAATAAAGGGGGCAATTAAAAAAATTTAGAACGAAGAAACTATAATCATGTTTTGTTTTAAGGAATAGTCCTTTTTTTTAAAAACATGTCAAAGTGACGTTGTTCAGGCGTAAAATGGCGTAAAACATTAATTTTAAACGTCTAAGACTGTCCACGTATAATGTGTACATTTTTCACGTGGGGTCCCTATCAATGGTGATATTCCGCTTTCTGAGCGAAAGGGTTAACAAAATTATTTTCATTAAGTATATATATAATGGTAGCATATTTTCTTTCAGATGTATTCTACAGTTTTGTCTGTTATAATAATTCTTACGACGCAGGTACATGTAAAACAAAATTTCTATTCTCACAGTAATGCATGAGAAATTTTGTTTGATTATGGTTTGATATGAAAAAAGCGCGTATATAATTAAATGCATTTTATTTAAATCGAAATCTCAGATCTCGTTTATAACAATCAGAAAGAATTTCTGGTTATTATTATTACAAAATTCAAGATTTTACAACTAGAATTAGAACTATAATATAAGTATTATATTATTTATTACATTATAAGGATTTATATATTTAATATTTTTCAATTTAATTTTACAATTTTCACTTATTAATGGACATATGCATTATCAGAATTATTAACTTTAATCTCAGCGCACTCTAGCAGTGCAATTATTGTGTCCGTCGACACAAATCGGGCGAATATGCTATGTTGCTTTATATCATTATATTGCTTTTTTATAATGAATTGGAACAAAATAGTATATACCATGACTGACGAGAAAACATCTTTTCTTTCCGCTGTCAATATAATTTTGAGAAAAATGCATAGAAATTTGAAAGTTATAGCAATAAGATTAATTTAAATTTCTCTATGTTACACATTACTTTGTAAGTACCTCATAGATCATAGGTGCATGATGCACATCATCCATTTATCCTTGTTTACATAATATATTTTATGCATAAAACGAAATGCCCCAATAATTAACAAAAAAGGCATGTTTGATCAATAAGATATTCTACGGGTAATTAACAAGAAAAATTTATCCAATTAACAAGCAATTCTAGTATATTTAACAAAATACAACTATAAATGCTGTTCAAAATACAATAAAAATGATATTATTACATAGTAGCATAATTAAAAAATTAATAATGCGGGATTATACGAAAGAGTTGAAAAAATATGTATGACATACATTTTATTAAGCTAATCGTTACTGTAGTATTGATGAACGGAATGAAATATCAACAATAAATAAA